TTAAAGTTCGTTCTTTCATTTCTGCATTGAATACTCGTTTCCAACAATTTGGTGTTTTCAATAAATTTCTTAGTATTGATGAAGAAATGGTACCCTATTTTGGACATCACTCAGCAAAAATGTTTCTACGAGGAAAACCCATTCGTTTTGGGTATAAACTTTGGGTATTAGCATCATCCAGTGGATATCCATTCAATGTACAGGTGTACTGTGGCAAAGAACCACAGACAACAAATGATGAAAGTCATGGACTAGGTCATCGTGTAGTCATGTCACTGTTAGATTGCCTTGAAAATCCTGCTGATCATGAAGTTTTCTTTGACAATTTTTTCACCAACTACTCTTTGCTCAGCTCACTGAAAGAAAAAAATATAAAAGCAACAGGGACAGTAAGAGAAAATCGTTTGACAAAGTGTCCATTGATGGATTCAAAAACAATGAGAAAGAAAGACAGAGGATTTTATGATGCATGTTGTGACAAAAACGTAATCGCGGTCAAGTGGAATGATAATCAATGTGTCATAGTTGCATCAAATTATGATAAAATTCTTCCACTTGGCAAAGCTCGGAGATGGAGCAGCACCAAGAAAGCCTCTGTAGATGTACCTCAACCAGCACTCATTAAAAGGTACAACACACACATGGGAGGAGTCGATTTGCTTGACAGATTTATGGCTTCCTATCGACCAATGTTGAGGTCCAAGAAATGGTGGTGGCCATTGTTCATAGATGGAATAAACATGGCTGTCGTAGCAGCCTGGCGACTTCATGTTGAAGTGGGAGGAACTTTTGATCATCTAGATTTCAGGAGATATATTGTGCGTACAATCATGCAACTGCAAGAACCAGCACAGATGATGACAGGACCTTATAGCCAACCTATTCCTGATGTAAGATTCGATATGACGGGTCGTCATTTGGTTCCATCTGGGAAGCAATCCAGATGTCGACAATGCAAAAAAAATGCACGTCTTCAATGTAACAAGTGCAATGTTCCATTGCATCTTCACTGTGAAAAAGATTATCACGAAAAACAATAAATTTAACAGTTTTAATAAATGACTAATAAAATTTGACTAAACTATATTTTTTCACAAATTCATTTGATTAAAAAAAATCATTTTTCTTTGCGTTTTACATTTTTTCCATATAATTAAAAGTCTGCTATATTTATTTCTATGTTAAAAAAAAGATGTTCCCAAATGGGAACATGGTAGTTGATGTGCCCATTGTTCCCATTTGGGAACACGCCGCCATTTTGTTACAAATAATAAAATTCAAAAAAATACTTGTGCTAGGGTCTCATATTAGGTATAGCTACCTAACTGAAAAATTTGATACTTTTTGGTAGCATGGTTGTGATTTGGGCACTAATGGGTTAATAAATTAAAAAAAAAATATAAAAAAGTTGAACAATGTTGAAAGTAGTGTTGAATTTTTGAAAGGTTGCGTTAACAACAGTCTGTTACCAATATATATATATATATATATATATATATATATATATATATATATATATATATATATATATAGGTGTGTGTAAGTGGACCAGCCGTTTGGAATAGTCTACCAAGTTATCTAAAACAGCC